AGACTTAGCCTTGGTTACTACGTCATTTTCAAAATGTAGCTCAGCCCCTCTCCTCAGCCTAGCATACAGTATGGCCATGTTTTATGGCATTTTGCCCTAAGGTTTCCTGCTAATACAGACACTTCAAATTATGACCGAATCTCACTATACAGCTCCCCTCGCCTGACTGTCTAATACGGCCACTGTGCACCACCCAGTTTGTTTACATTCTCAGTGAGCACATTTCTCCACTATGTCTGTAAACTCTCCAAAATTTCAAGTGTTTTAAAGTTATTTCATATTTAATACATCTTTCAACACACCGACCATATCCCAAGGTGGGGCAGCCCAAAAGAAAAACCAAAGTTTCTCCTTTTACATTTAGTAATATATACAGGAGGAGGAGTTACTAGCCCCTTGCTTCCGGCATTTTAGTTGCCTCTTATGACACGCATGGCTTATGGATGAAGAATTCTGTTCCACTTCCCAATGGAGATTTTATGTATTTTTCTTTCAACACACCGGCCATATCCCACCAAGGTGGGGTGGCCCAAAAGGAAAAACGAAAGTTTCTCCTTTTACATTTAGTAATATATACAGGAGAAGGGGTTACTAGCCCCCCACTCCCGGCATTTTAGTCGTCTCTTACAACACGCATGGCCTACAGAGGAAGAATTCTGTTCCACTTCCCCATGGAGGTAAGAGGAAATAAACAAGAACAAGAACTAGAAAGAAAATAGAAGAAAACTCAAAGGAGTATGTATATATATGCTTGTACATGTATGTGTAGTGTGACCCAAGTGTAAGTATAAGTAGCAAGACATACCTGTAATCTTGCATATTTATGAGACAGACAAAAGACACCAGCAATCCTACCATCATGTAAAACAATTACAGGCTTTCGTTTTACACTCACTTGGCAGGACGGTAGTACCTCTCTGGGTGGTTGCTGTCTACCAACCTACTACCTATAATTTTATATATACAGTGGACCCCCGGTTAACGATATTTTTTCACTCCAGAAGTATGTTCAGGTGCCAGTACTGACCGAATTTGTTCCCATAAGGAATATTGTGAAGTAGATTAGTCCATTTCAGACCCCCAAACATACACGTACAAAGGCACTTACATAAATACACTTACATAATTGGTCGCATTCGGAGGTGATCGTTATGCGGGGGTCCACTGTACTCTGATAATTATACTTATGTGTATCTGTACCTAAGTCAACTTACACACTGTGGTGCCATACAGGTACATACTAAAATCATTAAGTGTGACTTATTAGTGTCAAAGATGCCTTATTAAAAATGATAATAATAATAAAATGCAATAATAATCACTGAGGAGCGTTAAATGTTGTATATTACGTTAATATAAACATTTTCATTAATCCATCCATGGTATTTTTTCAAAAATTATATAATAAACACACTACATAACATATAAACTTGATAAATACAACCACAGTAGAATAAATTAATATAAATACGAGATTTTTTCCAGTCATCTTGCTGGAGCATCGGAAAGAAAAACATTTTCTCTGGTTCAACACCTAAGAAAATGTGTACACAATAGTATTACTGGGAGTAACTGTAGAAAATTATTCCTTTCATATGCCTTCACTCTGAGCATTATTCCTTTTAAAAACGGTGTGTTACACGAGAATGAGAGTGTAGCTCTTTATTTATTCTACTGTACCAATGTGGAGACAACTTGTACACAATGTAAGGTGGTATAAACCTTGGTAATAAATACCGACAAGTTGGTTTAGAAAGACACGTAAGCAAACACTATGACATATTTATTAGAAAACGTTTCGGTCCTGGGACCTTGATCACTTCTAACATACAGAGGTAGAAAGACATTATATATATAGGCAATGTTTTTGAAATTTCGTAGTTTCCAGTGTTGCGTTCTATAGTGTCGGTGATTAGTGAGGCTTCTAGGCACCATCGGTGTCTGAGATCTGGTTCGATGAGAACAAGTTGTGCCTCATTCCAGTTCATCAAATGCCCCGTGGAGTCTCTGTGGAGGACACAGGCATACCTTACATCGTCTCTGTTAGAGGCATTTCGATGCTCATTCAGGCGGACTGCAAGATCTCTGCCTGTCTCGCCTACATATTGTTTCTTGAAGAAGAATGTACTTACATAACACAAGCCTTTACATGTCTTCAGTTCCCATCTTTCTTCATCCGAGACTGCAGACTCAAGGCACAAGCTATCCTCAACAAACTGCCCATGGAACAGCCCCCTAAGCAGTTTATAGTACTCCCATGTGGTGATGTTGCCACGAATACTCGCCGGGCAGTTGCTAAGAGTAACATCTACGTTTCCACCATAAACACATCATCTATCAAAGACCTCACTACGAAACGCAGCCCCACACCTCTAACTTCTACAGCAGGTGTCTACACTATTCCCTGTGAATTCTGTCCCAAGAAATATGTAGGCAGAGATCTTGCAGTCCGCTCGAATGAGCATCGAAATGCCTCTAACAGAGACGATGTAAGGTAAGCCTGTGTCCTCCAAAGAGACTCCATGGGGCATCTGATGAACTGGAATGAGGCACAACTCGTTCTCACCGACCAGACCTCAGACGCCGACGGTGCCTAGAAGCCTCACTAATCGCCATCACCAACACTATAGAACGCAACACTGGAAACTACAAAATTTCAAAAACATTGGCATACATGATACTTAAGCACCACCAACCCAACAACAGAGGAGTTACATGATTTCATCGTCTACCCGTCCTCATCCCAACATGACATTCCTCAGGTCACCGTGCGTCACTCACACCTCACTCTCCGCCTATATATATAATGTTTTTCTACCTCTGTATGTTAGAAGTGATCAAGGTCCCAGGACCGAAACATTTTCTAATAAATATGTCATAGTGTTTGCTTACGTGCGTTTCTAAACCACAATGTAAGGTGTTTTGGTATAAGCTTCACAAACACAGAAATAAGTCATTCTGACTTATTTCCTAGGCCATCTATGCATATGCTGCTATGAATGATAGTCTATGTAACCGTATCTGTGTATACCTATACCTAAATAAAAACTTACTCACAAACATGGAAATGAACGTGTATGAACCACAACCAGATGTGTTCGTCTGTTAATACACTCTGCGTCTCTGTCCTCTCTCATTTACTTGTTCTCTGTCTCTCTCATTTATTCACTTTATCTCATTTACTCATGTCTCACCCTACATTAAGACTACAGATATTCTAAGGTAGGTAATGAGTGTACTGTATATGCATTTAATAACTCTAGGATGCTTTAAATGTATATTACGTGTGGTGGGGTGGCCATACCTACCACACCTGAATACCATACCTACCACACCTGACCTCTTACAATAAATACTACTCACCCTATATTAAGACTACAAATATTTTAAGGTAAGTAATGAGTATACTGTGTGTGTATTTTACTTTTTTGATTTTTAATGCCTAGTTCTATTGCTAACTTAATACATCTTAGTGTAAATTTGCTATCTGGCATTTACATCATTTTTAAGTGGAAAAAAATGGTGTTCTGCTTTCCGGCTATGTTCGGTTTCTGGTGGCAGCCCGGAACCTAACCTGCCTATGAATAAGTGGGGCCCTAATGTATTCATTTCTAGCTAATTTGCTCACTTCTCACTTGACAATTTTTTTTATTTGGTAACAAGTGCTAATAAAAAAACTCACTTTACTTGTGTGCATGAATTAGTTGCAAAGGAATATGAAACGAGAAATTTAAGCAACAGAATAAATGAATACATTACATCTGTTAGATATGTACAAGACAATGAAAAAGTTTCCCATCATGTTAAGCATAAGCACATCTACTTCCATTATAACAAATTGTATGTACAAGTATAAATTGAAAAATCCTAGTGTGCTACAAAAGTATCATGAGCCAGTTGTACCACCACATAAGGCCAATGGAAACTTGATGATGTCACTACAATTGCCCTTAAGTCATTTATTCCTACACCTTATTTACTTCTTATACCTGACTATATTTCAACACTTAAAGTACATCATGTGACCTGTACCTGAATTTGTTCCAACACCTGAAGTACATCATGTGACCTGTACCTGAATTTGGTTCAACACCTGAAGAACATCATATAACCTTGATCAAGTGACCTGCCTTTGTAAACTTAATCCCCTGTACATATTTTAGTCTGCTGAGAAGACTTTCACTGTGAGGCTGAAATACAGCAGTCATCTTACCTTTCATCTTGTTTGTGGGGGTTCATTGATACTACTAGCCAGTATTTATTAGGCTAATAAATCTCCAATGATCACAAAACACTGGAGGAAAATATACCTGGAGGGTGTTTTGGGGGGTCAATGCCCCCGCGGGCCGGTCCATGACCAGACTTCATGGTGACGTAAATGTTTGACACAAAATGTAACAGAAAGCTATGAAGAAAACAGGAATATGTAAATAAAGGGAATGTAAACAGCATGCTAAAAATATCTAGCCAATAAAGGACTTGCAGCAATGATTTTAAGTTGGAAAAATTCTGATTCAGGAAGGATACAGAAAAGCACTAGTTTGGAAATGGAGTTGTGAATGAATGGAACAAACTCTGAAGTACCATCATAGAAGCTAAGATGTTGTGCAGTTTTATTAAAAATAGGTTGGATAAATACACGAGTGGGTGGGTGCGAGTTGGACTTGACTAGCTTGTGCCAACAGGTCTGATGTCGTGCTCCTTCCTTAAGTGGATGTAACCTGAGCCGACTAGGTGGGTCACTGGCTTAAGCCAGTAGGAGACTTGGACCTGCCTTGCATAGGCCAGTAGGTCTGCTGCAGTGTTCCTTCTTTCATATGTTCTTAACAGAGAACTTTTAATTCATTTTCCTCTCTACCTGTATACAATTAGTAAAATTTAAAATAAAGATACCTACTTTTCACTTTATTTGGATAAAGTTACCTAAATAGCCTTGATGGGAAGTGATGGAAAGTGTGTACTGTATTATAATATGTAGTTACAGAAAAAGCACACTAATAAATATTTTTACAAATTTACATTATCTCAGGAAATATTTTAGCAGAAAATACTGTACCTATTTCTTTGTGGTCCATGTCTCTTATTTTCTCAATAGTGAGACGTTTATCTTCAATTTTCTCTATGATTTCATGGGTCAAGCGAGCAAACTGCTTCATTGGACTCTCGAAGTGCCACATTTGATGCTCTAACATCTTGGCCATAGTAAGTAGACGACCAGCCATCAATGGCCAATTTTTGTGAAGAACAATTTCAAACAAAGCACGAGTGATACGCACCGAATTCTGAAAAAAATATTTTGAGATATGAGTGTCTTGTAATGCTTTAATGCACTCCTAACCATAAGTTTTTTTTTTTTAACACGTCAGTCATCTCCCACCGAGGCAGGATGACCCAAAAAGAAAGAAAATCCCCAAAAAGAAAATACTTTCATAACCATTCAACACTTTCATCGCACTCATACATAATCACTGTCTTTGCAGAGGCACTCAGATATGACAGTTTAGAAGACTCTCCAAACTGCCAATATCCCAAACCCCTCCTTAAAGTGCAGGCACTGTACTTCCCAATTCCAGGACTCAAGTCTGGCTAACCGGTTCCCCTGAATCCCTTCACAAAATATCGCCCTGCTCTCACTCCAACAGCTCGTGAGGTCCCAAAAACCATTGGTCTCAATTTTACTTTGATCCATTCTCTCTAAATGACCAAACCACCTCAACAGCCCCTCTTCAACCCTCTGACTAATACTTGTAGTAACTCCACACATCCTCCTAATTTCCACACTCCAAATTCTCTGCATAATATTTACACCACACATTACCCTTATACAAGCGTGTCTCACCAAAAAACGTCAGAACCTCCTGTATATGTAGAGTCAGAAAACTTAAGCAGGAGAATAACGAAACAATACACCAATGCTTCACATGGGATGGGAACATTCTAGTTAGGAAAACAAATGTAGGCCAACTGTACACAATCACGAACGAGAATGATCAATCACGGTTTCTCTGGGATACTAATCTTACATAGAATAACTAAACAATGTCCAACCCAAAAGCCTACATGCAGTGTATGTTATGCTCCATTACTGAAAAAAATTTCACAGTACAATCTCTAAGTAATCAAAAAATCAACTACCTCAGAATAAGTAAGAATAAGTCACCTTATATTATGTAATTTTCTTAATTATTATTGCTTGCTTAAATAATTGCTTAATAAATACTTTCTGTCCATTTTACAACCCCATTTTTTTTAAATACTATTAATTGCTATTACTTACTAAAAATATTTTTAATACCATTTTTACTATCAGTCCAATTTACTCTAAACATTTTTGACATATTTATTTTAATTACCATTACCTGTTTTAATACCACATTTACTATCATAGTGTAGTTCCTTACTCTTAAATACCTTGTACTGCCAAATAACCTCTAGTATATCTACCAGTACAATACTAAATCCAAATAACTATTCTTAAAAATTTAATATTTGAAATAAACATTTCTTTTTTCTTTTTATTTTTTAATAATTTTTTTTTGTAATCATTATTCTTACTAAAATTTTATTAAACACCATATTTACTACCAGTCCAGTTTACTTTTGTACAGTGATCACTATATCCTCTATATTTTGCTCTTTAGATTTTTTTTTTTTAATTTTAATATACCATTACTTGCCTTCTACTGTAAACTAAGGTTATAGAACTGATAACCAGTGCAATACGTATTATATTGTCAAACTTGTGCCATGATAAGAATTATAATCCTTGTATTTTATAATTACTTACATAATCCAGTATTTTTTTAAATATATTATTAATTGCTATTACTTACTAAAAATATTTTTAATACCATTTTTACTAACAGTCCAATTTACTCTAATAATTTTTTGACATATTTTGTATATAGTTCAATTGTCTTCTAATTATATCCTAGAATCTGTATTGATAAAGCCTCTGGATGGTGAAACGTCTACAATAAAGATATCCAGATGTTGCACATGTGTCTTAACTTTCATTATAAACTTCTGCTCTCTTATTGCGTTTCATTGTGTTCAGAAAATATCTTTCCAAAATCTACACCTTTGTCAAACCCTAAAATTATAACAGTTAAATATTAATTAAACAAATCTGTTCTTTATGAGGAGGAAACTAATTTTGTACTTGTATTTTCAAAAAACTAGTGTAACAATCCATTAACTAGTAAGATAAATTAGTTAAGTATCTTAATTATTAAGTTCACTACAATACTTTTCTAAAACCTAGTTGTTAGAGTCACTCTCATTCTTATGATTACAAACATTGATCCAGATTTTAACCTTTTATTAAATGACTTGCACGAATCAAACAATAACTGTAATTATTATACAGCAGACTAAGCTAAGACATTACTCAGAGCTAACAATAACATAACTATTTTTAATTACAATGTCAGATCCTTGAGCAAACATTACGATAACCTCACAGCATTACTTAACCCTTTCAGGGTTTCGGCCGTACTAGTACGGCTTACGCACCAGTGTCCATGACATACTAGTACGCATAAATTCTAGTGCATTCAAATCTAGTGAGAGAAAGCGGGTAGGCCTACATATGAAAGAATGGGTCTATGTGGTCAGTGTGCACAGTATAAAAAAAATCCTGCAGCACACAGTGCATAATGAGAAAAAAAAAAAACTTTGACCGTGTTTTTGGATTAAAACAGCGACTTTGCACTATATTTTCGTAATGGGAGGAGAATCAGAATAAGGAAAGTTAAGAGTGAAGATCTGAAGGTAGGAAATCGCTTCTCTGTTCTTCAGGATGAATGTACTTCAGTGGCCAGTGAAGGTAAGGGTACTACTGCCCCTGCTAACAGAGGTAAGCGCATTCTTGTGGTTGGTGACTCTCAGGTAAGATATATTGACCGTGCTTTTTGTAATAGGAATAAGAAGATGAGAGATAGTGTGTGCTTCCCTGGAGCTGGTGTTGGGGACATAGTTAACAGGCTGGATAATATCATGTCAGGTAATGGGAACAAGCCCATTATCTGTCTCATTGCTGGTGGAAATGATATTGGGAAGGGTAAGAGAGAAGAGCTGCTAGATAAGTACAGGTCAGCTATAGATTTCATTAACTCTAAGGGAGGGGTCCCAATCATATGTAGCATATTGCCTAGAAGGGGAGTAGGAAATAAATGGTTGTCTAGGGCAATTGGTGTAAATTGCTGGCTAGACAGATACTGCAAGGAACTTGCAATCCCATTCATTGACAACTGGAACAACTTTTATGGCAAACATGATATGTATGCAAGGGATGGGGTACATCTCTCTGGGGCTGGGGTGGTAGCACTTGCAAACTCAACTGAGAAGGCCATTGGTGAAATGCCTATGATTTTAAACTGATAGAAGATAGAGGTATGGGTGTGTGTGGGAAACAAGCAGGTTGCAATACTAGGGTTGGAAACAGTAAATGTATAAAAGGCACTCAGCATGAAGTTATAAATAAAGACAATAGATCAAGTCAGCAAACAAAGGGGGACAGCAGAGGGCAGCAAGGGACTAGCTCCCTTAAGGTTTACTATACTAATAGCAGGAGTGTAAGAAATAAGATAGATGAGCTAAGATTAATTGCAAGTGCAGGAAACATAGATATTATTGCTATAACAGAGACCTGGCTCAATCTGAAAGATAGAGAGATGCCCTCTGAATGTCACATACAAGGCTATAAATTATTCCACACTGGCAGGGTCAACAGGAAGGGTGGTGTAGCAGCGATGTATGTCAGAGAATTTAAATTGTTGTGTTAGACAAGATATAAAATTAGAAGCGTCGGCCACTGAATCTGTTTGGTTACAGCTTCTCAAGGGCTGAGAAAAACTAATTTTGGGTGTGATTTACAGGGCCCCAAATCTTGATAGGGAGTGCAGTAAACTTCTATGGGACGAAATTCGTAAGGCATCTACATACGAAAATGTTGTGCTAATGGGAGATTTCAACTATAGACAGATTAACTGGAGCAATTTGACAGGAAATTTAGAGTCAGGTGACTTTCTTGATACGATCCAGGATTGTTTTTTAAAACAGTTTGTGACAGAGCCAACTAGGGGAAATAACCTCCTTGACTTGGTTCTTGCCAGTAGGGAAACACTAATTAATAATCTTGAGGTTAATGATGAGCTTGGGGAAAATGATCACAAATCACTCAGTTTTAATATATCATGGAATTCCCCTAATAATGGCAATCAAGTCTCCGTCCCTGACTTTCGCTTGGCTGATTTCATAAGACTGAAAAATTACTTAGGTGGGCTGAACTGGAATGACCTGACTAAGGGTCAGGTAGGTGGTGATGGTTGCCGATATGACGCTTTCCAGGGCATAGTTCTAGCTGCTCAGTCAAATTATGTTCCAAATAGGGAAATCAGATCAAACAAAAATGATCCTAAATGGATAAACAATAGATTAAAATATCTGATTGGTCAAAAGAGAGGCATATATAGGCAAATCAAAAGAGGAGAGGGGCAATTAAGAAATCAATATATTCAGTTAAAGAGAGAAATAAAAAAGGGAATTAGAAAAGCAAAAAGAGATTATGAGGTTAAAGTTGCAAGAGAATCGAAGACTAACCCAAAAGGATTCTTTCAGGTATACAGAAGTAAGATCAGGGACAAGATAGGCCCACTCAAAAGTTCCTCGGGTCAGCTCACTGACAGTGATAAGGAAATGTGTAGAATTTTTAACACATACTTCCTCTCAGTTTTTACATAGGAGGATACCAGCGATATTCCAGAAATGATAAATTATGTAGAACAGGACGATAATAAACTGTGCACGATTAGGGTCACAAGTGACATGGTCCTTAGGCAAATAGATAAATTAAAACCTAACAAATCCCCAGGCCCTGATGAACTGTATGCAAGGGTTCTAAAGGAATGTAAAGAGGAGCTTAGCAAACCTTTGGCTAATCTTTTCAACATATCACTACAAACTGGCATGGTGCCAGGTAAGTGGAAAATAGCAAATGTGATACCTATTTTCAAAGCAGGTGACAGGTCCTTAGCTTCGAACTATAGACCAATAAGCCTAACCTCCATAGTGGGAAAATTTATGGAGTCAATAATTGCCGAGGCAGTTTGTAGCCACCTTGAAAAGCATAAATTAATCAACGAATCTCAGCATGGTTTTACAAAGGGGCGTTCCTGCCTTACAAATTTATTAACTTTTTTTCACTAAGGTATTTGAGGAGGTAGATCATGGTAATGAATATGATATTGTGTATATGGACTTCAGTAAGGCTTTTGACAGG